TCGGACATTGCATCTATAATGAAACGTCAAAACTCTTGTTTTGGTTGATTAAATTATTTGGCGATCTGTTTTATCGCCGATATCCATGCTTGCAAGATGTTATGATGATGGCATCGGAGTGGCTCAACTGATCTGGCAAGATGTTATACATGACGGAATTGGAGCACCAGAAGATGATGCTCAAGCCTGAAGACAAACAAGTAGACATTGCTGGCTCAACATGACTCATTCAGTCAAAGTGATACAAATATTCCTCTTCATACTATCGAGTCACACAAATAATATCTTGCATTATCACAGAATGTATGCCATTATAATATTATTATTTTGACCATCAACTTACAAAAGTAGGGGTACACCTTTCAATTGTAGGTGTAGACAATAAAAGAATGCAAAACTTCAACTTACAAAAGTAGAAATATAATTAAGTATTAATTGGGGCAGACTGCAACAAAACCAGACAAAGTGAACATTTAATTATGTGACATAAATGAGAGGCTGATCATGATGTGGCTGTAAAATTGACCAGGGTGACTGATGACATTTTGAAGAGTAATAATGGTACTCATTCATAACTTGTGGGCTTGTTAATTTTAATGCTCACTTTATCATACCAGAATGTGATGAATATAAACCATAACAGGATTAATATATATATGATTATCTCTATATAAAAAATATTAATATGAAACTAATTTACATTAAATCCACTATGGAACCCAAGAATTACCTGTCCTTTTGAGAGTATATGGCCATGCTCTTCTAGTACTAGTTTTTGTCGTAATAAACGTGTTGAGAGTGGGGAACCAGAAGTGTTTGCAGTCATAACAAACCTGTGTATGAGATCAACAACATTGTGATCGGGGCTTTTCCTTGGACGCCCTTGCATTCTTCGCTCTGAACGCTCTGAGAATTTTTCATTTTTACTGCTATTACGTTCAGCAACCATTCGTGCAAGGGTTGCCTCACCAATTCCGAGGACCGAAGCAACCTTCTTGCGTAGTGGTAAGTCTGGACGTTGCGTCTGGCACTGTCGAGTATTTAAAAAGTATTGGTAAACGCGAATAATCATTCGTTTTTCGTTATTGGTTAAAGAACTTCGCTCTCTATTTAGGTCTTCCATGGGAAAGATAAATGATTTGTTACGAATATTTGAAGTTCGACATTTTAATATCAACCAATAAAATTTCATCAAAGAATCGTCCAATCACAGAAAAAGCCCGCTTATGCATGAAAAATTTTTTGCACAAAGCACTCAGCTATTTTTTTAAGCAGAATGTCTTTCGAGAAAGGTGATGACAGTATCCATCTATGAGGTCTGACTTTCTTACCCATCTTTAAATAATTCTCATTCTATAAACAGGAATCCGAGCATATTTCGAGGATACGCGTCCTGCTAAGCTATCCTATAATAATTTCTTGTATAGAAATAAACCGTTAATAATTGAACAAGCTGACAACAAATCATGGTCGACTCAAAACGGCAGATGGAAGAAACGATTTATGTTAATTGCGCAAGAATTGATATCTGACGAAACGATTATCGAAAAGGTTATGTGTATATAAAGAAAGTGCAGGTGACGTTCCTGCAAGAGACGTGGGAACTCCAGCGGGTGACGTTCCCGTAAGAGTACAGTGTATTCATGGAGGATGGGGTGACGTTCCCCGCCCTCGTCTTAAGCATAGGGCGATTTGAAGGAGCTTCGGCGAGTGACGTTCTCGTGATAATACACGGAGTATGGGGTGACGTTCCCCACCTTCCATCGTCCTACGCTATTGATATTTTATGAAATAGATTCTTATTGCATTTCTTATTTTTTTTTATTGCAGTTACAAAATGAAAAAGCGAGCAGAAATTTCTGGGTGCAAATCGAGAATATGCAAAGCTCAAGACTGATTGAGGAGAAACGGGTAAGGAAAGTTAGTTCTTCGTTTACAAAGAACTTAACTGATAATACACTTTGTTTCTGTAATAGGATAGAATCAAACGCAAGGTCGATTTATGCTCGGTCGACATTTTTGATAAGTCTACAACCAGTCAAGGAGACGAAATTATGAAACTTTATGATGATGATAATCCAAAAAAAAAAAATTGAAGAGTACAGCCGAAGACTTTCAGTCTGATAGTGATTCTTTTGCGGATTTATCTACCATTGGAAGTGAGGAGTCATCAACTGACATTCAATATCCCCCCATTGAAAGTGAGGAGTCATCAAGTGTACTGGAAAATTTGGAGAATAAGAATCGTTTGGCTACTACATACAAGGTTGTTTCCCTCTTCGATAGACAATTTCCATATACGAAAGAACTTTACAATACATTCCCTGATCAAATGAGAACGTTAGAGAATAAATGGAAAAAGGTAATGTAGTTTTGGATTGGGTAAATTATGAATTATTGACTTATAATAATTAATTAGGTTGAAGCCAATATCCAAAAAACAGTCGAAGAAAGATGGAATGTATCTCAACTGAAAGAACTTGTGGATAAGTACTATAAGATAATAGTAGATCATTTTGATGAATTATTGGATGTTGATCACGAGAAGCTTATTACAATGTTCAGTAAACCTCCCTATGATGATTTTTCTTATAAACGTGATGATGAATTGATTTGGTGTCAGAGAATATTTATTGATTTGTAAGTTTTTCATAACAATTTTTTTGGTTTTTCCCCCTGTCCTGTCATTATAACTTATTTTTCCTACATCAGGACTCGACAATTTCTACGTAATAGAGGTGCTCTATTTGATAAAGAAGCCTGTGAGCTTCGTTATCGCTCAGAAATTGTGAATCCTCTGCTTGCAGGGGTATTTGAAATGATTGAACGTTCTATATGGCTTGAAACCGGAGAAATTGAGAACGAAATTCAAAAAATGCAACGGAATGATACTAAGGAAGATAAGGAGCGGTCAAAACTTGGAATTAAACATGATGGTGTGATCAACATGATAATACATGGAAAAAAATATCAGATCGGATTTCTTGAGGTCTTAGGCAACGCCTTTAACAAAGACATAACTGATAGGAATATTGACTTAGAGAAGTTATATAAAGGTATGCCTTTTATTACCCATCATTTAGTTCAAACATTATGCTGACTACTAGCTGTATTTCTCCACGAACCATAGCAATGTCACTATCATTGTGGAATCAACGTGCACATCTCGATATTGAAACTTCACAACAATTATCAACTTTTGCTGTACTAGTCCATGGTAAATGTGAACAAGTTTTGCACTGATTACATTAGATCATTAATTATAACTCAATCAATTTAATTAGGAAAAATTTTTAGTTTCTTGAGCATGCATTGCATTAATAATGAGTTTGTGGTTAAGAATTATGATGATTTCATATTACCAACAACAAATTAGTGCCTGGTGAGAATACCAAAAATAAGAGAAATGATTGTCAAATTCAAGGTAATATTTTATGACAGTTTTTAATTATAATGTAAGTATTATGTACTCACTATAATATTTTCATGCAGATAAGAATTATGATATATCATCGAGAACATATGGCTAGTTTCCATAAAGTAGTGCGTTCACCAAGTGATTATCCACCCAATGCTTCACCACAAAAGAAGAGAAACAATGGTGGTCATCTCTAATGTTACTTGCAACAAAAGGAGATGATCAATTGCATTGTTTGTTAAATGAGATGGTGGTATAATAGATTTTGAGTTGCAATAATAGAGAGAGATCATGCATCTTTACAATAAATACTTGCTTCATTGGCTTTCCATTGTATTTAAGCTGGACAATACTTGGAGTCACATCTCGTAATTTGCTCATCCCGCCGTTTCTATAAGATTAACATGTGCACCGGGAGAGTTCTCAAGCTTGGAACTCTGAGACAATCAACTTAGAATACCAAAATAAAAACTTCGTAACAGAAACTATAACAACCAAACTCGATTTATTCTGAACTTAAGAACCACTCGTACCTAACTCATTGATGCCTCGACTTATTATTATGAAAATGATAAAAACTATATATAGGACTACCCATATATGATAAATATAAATAACGAATATAATGGCTCCGCTGAATATGAAAAAGCAACACGTTTCTTGGAGATAGGTTGTAAATGTGGTTGCTCAAAAATGATTCCGAGAGAGAAATTTGCAGAATTACGTGAAGCGTTTCAAGCTCTCTCTAGATCTGAACAAGATATATTTTTAATGGCCCAGTTGAAAGCAATGAATGGCGGAGAAATAACTGCTAGTCGACGTTTTAAAAAGAAAACGCGCACTAATAAGAGAACTTTTTATTATTGAGATCGCAATACGCCGCTTTGTCAGAAAACGTATCTCAACATGTTGGGAATCGGTCGCACGCACTTCGAAAACGTTAGAAATCACTTGGCGACGAATGGTATAATGCCGCGCGTTCATGGTAATATCAAACGAATGCCGCGATGGAAAACCAAAATAACCATTGATATAAACGTTGCTACTGCCGTGAAGAATTTTCTCGAAAACTATGCTGAAATTCATGGACTACCAAGCCCTGGTAGAAATGTCAATCGCATTACTCAATCGCTTACGCTTTTACCAGCTGAAACGAGTTATAAATCGGTCTATCGTAATTTTATTGCAGGTCTTGAAAACGATAGCGTGTTGAAATTGTTAAAATATGATGCGTTTCGTAAGTTATGACACCAATTAACGCCTTATTTTCAAATTATGAGTCCGAGAACAGATTTATGTGACACGTGTCAACATTTTCTGAACGGCTTACAGTATAATGCTCGTAAGGAAGAAGAAGCAAAAGATTTACTAAAAAAATTCAAAGAACATTTAGTTAAGGCTAAAACTGAGAGAAATTATTACAACAAAAATACGAAATTAGCAGAACAACAAAGAAAATTAGTAAGTGAGCATTTTATAACAAGAGGGAAAGTTGATTATTGCAGCATTGACGCAACTGCTCATTACAGTTACGATTGAGCACAAAATGTTCACGTCCCCCATTCCGATCAACAAGTAAGTAAGATTTATTATCTTAGTCCGCGTAAAGTACATTTATTTGGTATTCAAGATGAAGCAGTACGCGAACAAATTAATTATGTTCTTGATGAAGACGAAATTATTGGGAAAGGGCCCAATGGTACGTTGAGCATGGTATTCGATGGAATAAAGAAATTGAATAAAGGTGAGAAACATTTAAAGACTACTTGTGACAACGCGGGTGGTCAGAATAAAAATAACGCCACCATTTGATTTTACTTATATTTAGTGATTTGCGGTTATTATGAAAGTATCGAATTAAATTTTATGATACCGGGACATACTAAATTCAAGTGTGATGGTAGTTT